AGTGAACCTTTGGCGTTTATACCGCACTGCGAGCTGCAGAACATCAATGATCGTTACGTGCATCTCCTACATACTACAAATGTCAGGAGACGGTACAGTATGCATTATTCGTCACTTATTAACGTTCACATGTGAGAGCGGGTTTTCCTGCTCAAGAAGATGGAACACTGGGTGAGTTTGTTTTTGAATTGCTTGGACTTCTCTTCGAGGTTCCTGACAGAACGTCAGAACCGCTAGAGAAGATGAGGCGCTTGGTGGACTAGATCATAAATCGGAACTTCGAACCAATTTTAGGCCTCCGTTTGGTTTGAAACGTCAGGCCAGTTCAATAAAATTCCATGTACGAACCTTGTAAGGGCACACAAGGACTAACACAACAAAAGCTTCTCTTTATTGCACTATACATAAAGTAATAGCGACATAACAATGCAGAATTCGAAACGTTGCAAGGAGAAGGGTGTCTTGGCCAATACCAAAGGCCACCGGAAATTCGTTTCGTAATGCTTATTGAACAGTGAATTATTTATGTCACAGTTACTTGCTCTTATGATTTGGAACGCTGGCCATAACGTGTTTGGGACGATTCAAAAAGTTAAAAATACTGATAACTTCTGCTGCTGCCTTACTCAATCAGGCCGAAGTTTGAGATGGTTCACAGAAGATCTGTATCGTCGAGATAGCTTTTGAAGGGCTGTCAAATGCTCCTCATTGCTGCCAAAGCATGAGTGGATTGGTGAGGAATTCGCGTGATAGGATTGTCTCTGCCCATAAAATCAGAGTGGATTGTGCCTTCAATGGAAAAGAAGTAGGAGAAGGAGAGGAGAAAAGGAGGTTTACAGAGGATGTTTGTCCGACAAAAATGTAGTGAGAGGGAGTGCGAAGAACCTGATGAGCAATTCGATTGGGCGATAGATATGACTAAGCCATTTCAGGATCGCTGTAGAATATGGTAATCACCGGAGTATAAAGTGGGGAAGGTTACGAAAAGAAGTGATGGGACAATCTAAAAATAGAATCTGCCAGTCAATTTGTAGAGTCTTCTCAACGCTTGTTTGTCGTAGAACGATACTGGGTTTCCAGTCGGTGTGAAGGCAGTTACCTGTAGAAAATGTGTGACCATTCCTCGCGCAAAAAAAATATTACGGTAAGCCAAATGCCAGATCAGTGCCTAGCTAAAGTTCACTTGACTCCTTGCGGTCGTGAGTTACAAATTGCAAGTGTCGGTTGAAGGCGTGATCTTGTGGTTTTCGCCATTCATATGCGGAATATGCAAATCGATTGGCGTAGTCGTCCGCCTGGAATCAATACTAAGAGAAGATCTGGGAAGCCACCCAGATGATTAGAAACGGAGGCAATGGAAGTCGCAGTCCAACAGGGCACATTAGCATGAGGGTCATATCTGATCGCTAAGGATGGGGTTCCAGTTGTTTCCTATTGTTTGTTTCAAACCCTCGGCGATTTGCAGTTTTTTTTGAGGGAAAAAATGCAACGTTATGGAAAAAACTCCGAAGAATTAGGAAGTTGGGAGAATTGTGGAAAATGGAAGTCAATGGCCAGATCGTGCCACGGGAGGAAATTTTTCGGGAGGAAGGGGCTGCTCCGCAAAAATCTTCTTGGTGGGAGATGTACCCTGTACCCAAACCCTCGTGGAGCTGCATCGCGCTTCAGCCCAAATTCTCCTCTGAATCGCGTCCCAACTTCCGAGAGTAATAACACTCAAAATTGGTTCAGATAACTTAGGGTAAAGGATGCGAACGTATTTATCCGCGGTTGGATGTTGACAGTGTGTCCGTCATACATGAGAAAGTCAGGCTTGCTATTTTCTCTTATTGATGTCTTCCTTCTTCCCAAAATGTTGCAGCGAGAGTGTCAAAGAAAAGAACATTCTCCTAGGCCTAATCCTAAGATATCGAAGGAAATTCCGGATTCATATTCATCTAACCACACCAATAATTCCATCACATTTGGGAAGTCACATCAAAAAATAGTGAGGTAAATAAACAAAATTCACCTTAAGTCGTGCTCCAACGTAACGATCCAAATACTTCTGCGATTCCCGAAGGTACGACGCATTGTTTCTCATTTTCTAGAAAAATTAGAGGAAAATTGGGAATTATAGGTAAACTAGCGTGAATGTGAGAGAACAGTTGTAAACTGATTGTGGCACCCTGACAATATTCGTCTTTCATTCAGAAACGCAGTGGCTTATTGAATGCGACATAGCCAACCTAAATAATGACTTGAGGAGTCAGTTATACCGTCGATGTTTTTATCCCCCCAGGAGAATCTGGTACCAATTCACGGTACACGAATGTTAGAAGGAGTGGTTGATCTAAGCGGGAGCCAGTGCTAGATTTGACTTCTGGACCGTCTAAAGGATGCCACTTGCCCCTGGAAAATCTCCGCCATGGTGTCGCATTGTTTCACATACCATATAGAGCGGTTGCGGGGACTTACACCGTGTTTGGACCTATCACGCTGCCTTGGGGGGGGGGGGAACATGCACACAAGCAGACATGTCGTGACTCAGTCTCGCTAGGGAATGCCCTCCCCTCACAGCCAAAACGCTTTATTTCAAGTCCTGTTTTGTGGGACGTCCTGCGCGCCAGGACTCCATGAAAAACTAGAGTGCGCGCCAGATAATCTGAATTGCCTTGGCGCGACAAACCGTGGCATAGCAAGAAGCAATGCGCACGCGGCGCAAACAGCACTGGTCAAAGCGAAGATGCCTTCACGTGTGATAGCATGATTCACGTGCTCGGTGCGTCATCACATCTCGGATTCCGTGGACTTACTTGTCTTCCTGTGGAAAGAATAATCCACATGCGTGTGGATTAGGCGTCACTATTGACAAGTCCCAACCACTAGCAAGCGTGTTGTAGTGGCACTGTGTTGCACATTTATCCCGCGTGCGGACCATGTATCTAATTCCGGCTCCCGTTTAAGCCAACCAAACATTTCACCCATCGGAGACCCCATGCTGGGATCAGATTCGTGTGAGTCGGTAGGAGGCAAGCCATTGTGTAGGCCATTTCGCGTTCATTAAGTCACTGCAACACTGAATAGATGTAGATTGCGTGTCGCATCTTCAAAAATGGATTGAAACGGGGGAACCGCCTCCCTTTTATTATCCCACCGATACATCTCAGCTCGTTTATTGGTCAAATATTTGATCAACCAAAACTTACTTCATCGAAGAAGATTCGTCTCGTTTGGAACGTATAGTATGGTACATGGGATGATAATGGGGTCATGTAGTTAATTGAAGGACGATATGGCCGATTCACAATATCGTGAGTGTCCTGAAATGATCACTGAAATGCAAAAAAATAAATAGATTACGTTCAATAAGAAAATAGATTACGTTGAATTAAAAGGAGGTGACCAAGCGAGGCACAGTAGAAGGCTTATCACTGTCCATGCAGAGAAGTGAAAGATTTTGCCGGCGTTGTTCGGCTCAGGGAAGGGGAGGAGTGCATGTTGCACTTTCTTATTTCCGTTTGCTAGCTCATGGGTTTTCACAAGCGCAAGCTTCACTGTGTATCTTTGTGCCCCCACCGAACAGAACTGTGCCGATTGTGCTTTTGAGGGTAGCGGGTCGATTTTTACCCATTCCTTCCCCACACTATTCACCATTTGGAAAGAGGGGTGCACCAGTGAGAGATACTTGAGTGGCATGTCCGACTCCACCCCCACAACGACCGTGGAAATGTCCTGGAATGATAAATGCAAAAGTCGCATTGAAAAAAATCACTCACTCTCCATCGGGCCTCCGAATAGCTGTTGTTGTACCAGTTATGCACATGAGGTTTATAGACGGGAACTGTGTGAACGATACGTTGTGCCTCTCTGAAAAAACTCTCTCTTTCTCTTTTGCTGAGGATGCTAGATATCATTCTTATCATCCTATCATTTAATATCATTTACTGCTTTTTAAGGGCACAACCTGCGCTCACAAGAAGTGGATAGAATAGTGGAAAAAAGTAGGGCAATAATAGAGCATCATTTGAGGAAAAAAGGCACTATACACCTTTTTGCGCCCCACTTCAGAATCCAGGCCAGAGCCTGGCCAGAATTTTTTCCCCTCGCGGGTAGACTCGGCTAAAATTACCCTGCGGGCAATTGACCTGTTGAACACGAGAATCGCACTCGACTGGATTGGGAGTGAAACGGTCAAAGGTTCGCATACAAGCATTCCTTTAGACTGACTCAGAAAGCAATTCCAGACGAGTTTCCCTTTGGCATTGTGCCAACTGCTACGGTGGACGGCTGCATCTATGTAACCATATATGCATGCAGCACCACAGCCGCTTCATGACGTTCCCTTCGCTTCATATTGTACTTTGCAAATGGAGCGATACGAGCATCTGCTCCGGTCGGACATTTGTGGGTGGGCGGGTGCGGCCGACGTTCGGGTCGGTACTTGCAGCTTGATAGGGCGCCATAAGAGTACCTCTCTTGGAAAACGCACCATGCAGAGTCCGCTCGCGGTCGCTGAAATCTGTCGCATTGTGCGTATTAATCCACCACGTATCGGGGATTTATCGTGCCACTTGCGAATATGACATTAACTT